TGTCATCGATCCCTTGCTTCTCAATCACCACTCCCTCGCTCTGGGCTTCTTCAACTGGGCATCCCAGCAACCTGGCTTCGCCCACACTCCCATCACCTACCAATCCGTTCTCAAATCCCTCTCCCTGTCCCGCCAATTCAGTGCCATTGACTCCCTCTTGAAACAGGTTAAAGACCTGAAATTTTCTGTTGATCCTTCTGTTTACCGCTCCATAATTGCTTCTCAGATCGTTGGGAGGAAAACCCATAATGCTTTTTTAGTTTTTGGCCAAGTGTCCTATCTTATTCCGGAAATAGGAAGCGAGACGTGTAACTCGCTTCTGGCTGCTTTGGCATCTGATGGGTACTTGGATAGTGCAGAGAAAGTGTTTGGCGAAATGGCTCAACGAAACGTCCCTTTAAGTACACTTGGTTTTGGGGTGTTTATATGGAGGCTCTGTAAAACGGGTGAGTTTAAGAAAGTATTGAGCATACTAGATGAGGTTACAAAAAGCAGTTCAGGGATTAATGGTTCTGTGGTAGCTGTTCTGATCATCCACGGGCTCTGCCGTGCATCAAGGGTGTCCGAGGCTTTCTGGATACTGGATGAACTGAGGAACAGGGGATGGAAATCTGATTTCATGGCGTATAGAATTATTGCGGTAGCATTTCAATCGATGGGGAATGTGGTTGATAAGGAAAAGGTACTGAAAAAGAAGAGGAAATTAGGAGTGGCTCCAAGGGCTGACGATTACAAGGACATAATTCTTGCCCTGATCTCGGAGAGGCTGATATCTGAAGCAAAAGAGTTGGGGGAGATAATAGTTAGTGGTAATTTCCCTATTGAGGATGACGTTCTCAATATATTGATAGGATCTGTTTCAACCATTGATCCTGATTTAGCAATTGTGTTTTTGAACTTCATGGTTGGAAAAGAGAGATTCCCATCTCTTTTAACCTTGAGTAATTTGGGTAGGAACCTGTGTAAGCATGGCAAGGTTGATAAACTGTTGGAGGTATTCGAGGTTTTGAACTGTCACAACTTTTTTTTTTTTGAAGATTAGGGTTACAATGCGATGTTATCACTTTTGTGCAAGGCTGGGAGAGTTAAAGAAGGCTATGGAGTTTTACAAGACATGAAGAAGAAAGGAATAGGCCCGGATGTCTCATCTTATAATTATTTGATAGAAGCATGTTGTAGGGAGGATCTACTGCGCCCTGCTAAAAAGCTTTGGGATGAGATGTTTGCTAGTCACTGTTGTGGGAATTTGAAGACATACAATATTCTTATACGAAAATTTTGTGAGGAAGGACAAATTGAAGAGGCTCAAAGGCTATTTTACCACATGTTGGAAAAAGGGTTGGAACCTGATGCCGCAAACTTATACTTCTCTTCTGGAAGGACTTTGCAAAGAAGCCAAGCTTGAAGCAGCTTTTGAGCTCTATAACAAGTCCATCAAACAAGACACTATGCTTGCCAGAGACATATTGACCACGTTTATATTCCCTCTGCAGTAAAGGTATTCTCGACTTGAACAATTGATGGTGTCTTCAAATTTTGCAAGCTAGCATGCTTAGCAACTGAATATTAATCTTGGGTATTTTCAATGCAGGACATCTTATGACTGCTTCAAAGTTTATTTGCAGTCTTAGTCCCGGAATAGGAGGCGCAGAATCGCATTTAATTTTGTTAAAATATTTAGCAGATGCAAGAGAGATTCAAACTGCCTCGGAGCACTTGAAATGGGTCAAAGAAAGGTCACCTTGGACGTTAAATGATATTAGGACTGGACTTTTAGCATCTCTTTCTTCTGTTTCATGTTCACGATCAACGTTACAATTCCTTCAAATGATACCAGATACATGATTATAGGGATTAGGGAATGATTCATCCTACAGAAGTTCTCATCACATGAAATTTATTAAATCCCTCGTTCTCTTTAAAGCAGCGTCGGTTTTCATATCTCATCGATATTGAATATGAATGGTGGAATGAAGGGTCTTTTTTTTTTTTTGGTTCACTTTTCCGATCCCACCGTTCATTAATTTTATTATTTAAAAAAATTAATTAATAAAATAATTTGAATGATGAGGATGGAGTAAGTGGAGGGAAAAAAATAGAGAGAATGGATGCCATTATTAATAAAAAAGTTATCAATGTTTTTTTTCATTTATCATCACGCCTAGCCGGTCATGGGGCGTGGCTCTTCTCATAGTTTACTGTGCTGATCAATAGTGTTGGCTTAGATGAATAGTGTTGGCTTGCATGGGGGTTGTTGTTAGAGTCATCAATTAAGGTTGAGCTATGGGTCAGTTCTTTTTAAGTTCGAAAAAATTAAGGTTATGTTGCTATTTGATTTTAAAAAAGGTAATCGAGCTTTTTAAGCTTAAAAATAAAAAGGTCGACCTTTTAAGGTCAAGGTCGGCTCTTTTATGCCCTAATAGATTTTTTTTTGAAAAATAACATAAAAATAAACAAAAAAAATCACATCACTCAAATTAGCATTCACTCTCTAATCCAAACAGTAAACACGCACATTGTTATTTGCTTACTTTGAATATTTTTACATTTTTAAATACCTTAAAATTATGATTTTGATTTATTACTTATTGCAAATAATGAGAATGAAGATTGAAGAAGGAAGATATGAAAAATTTAACACATTTGTCATAGATGAGGATCCACAAGGAAAATGATCAAATCATATTGAAGTTGATGATAATAAAAATCATCAAAATTTAACTGATGATACTACTAACGTATAATTGATGTCGAAATTGATTTTGAAATTTTTTTTTATCAAACTTAAAAATTTTGTTGTGTGAGTTGATTTATTTTATTTTTCTAGACTAATATAATGTGCGATAACTTTATTAAAATTTTAAATATGTTTTTTTTTTAAATTTTAAATTGAAAAATTCAAAAAAATAATTAGGACTAAGATCTGAAGGCTAGAGTCAGACTATTATAAATAGAGTTTTAAATATAATTAAATTTAAAAAATCAACCCTCTTTAAACTTGACCTTGAAGGATCAATTCTTTAGGGTTGGACTGGGTGTCGTGCAGATGCTTCCAGTCCCTTTCAATGCTCGCCTTTTCACGCTTCCCTCCTTTTTTAAAATTTCTTGTCAATCGTCATGTGCCTCAACACGCCTTCTCCCCGCTACACTGTTGCCCGTCATCTCTCCTTGCCCATGCGTCGTTCTTCTATTTTCCGATGGTCTCCTCCCAGTCCCAGATATGTTTCCCAAGTGCGCTTGCCCATCTGCTCTTAATTCGGTGGTTTGCATTCATTCCTTGTGTGCTCTGTTTATTCATTTTTCCTTTTCCCTTCACACCGTGCATCTTGATCATGTGCCCGCCTCCTGTGACGGTTGTGTTCTTTGATCTCTCTTCATTATTCCAAGCGTCGGCATCTCTTCGCTTGTCTCCAAACGACATAAATGTTGTGACTCCCCTGCGCCAAGGTTATTAGGTCAGGTATTTTACTATATTTTATGTTCTTTTATTTTCCTGTATTTTTTAATCTGGAGTTCTATTGTCTTCTCTTGATTGCATAGTTTTTTCTTTACTTGTTCACTCTAATTTTTGACTTCTTTTCCCCTAACTTATGCTCTCCATTTTCTTATATAAAAGAAAAAAAATTGTATCACACAATTTAAAAAAGTTGATTAATCATAATAATTATGTTTGAAGATAAAAAAACTAGACTAAAATGCCCTATATTAAACAACATGAGTATGTATTAATTATTTCTCATTAATATAAATTATAAGGGATGATTTAGAAAATGCGTAATAAATGCTTATTGAAATCAAAAATTTTATTTATATAAAAAAAGAGTAAAAAGTGATAGTTTCTCATATAAATAAAAACGGAGAGAGTATCAAGTAGAGATACTATATATATTGGAGAAGTGCTCTTGTTGATAAACTCTACAAATGACTGGTAATAACATGTAGAGAACTTCAATAAAAAAAACACGTGGAGAATTCAACTGGTGACTAAACTTGGTGTGTTTGACTGTAACCAAGATTTATTGAATGCATTTTTTTAATGCAAGGAGACGGACAAAGCCATAAGGAATTACAAAAGTCAGGTTAGATTAGAGTCCAGAATGGACCTGCAAGCTATATAGGTGGATCGTTATAAATAATGAGATCATAATTTTTATGATAGGTTTGACGTGCAAGCAGATCAACGCATTTGTTTATTTCTCTAAAGTCATGATCAAAGGTGACTGACCAGTTGTTCATAATAAGTTCCATGATTTTCTTGATGTTTGACGTTAAAGGATGACTATTAAAGAAGTTATGCTGGATGAGAGAGGGCTTCCATAGAATCAGTGTGTAAATTGATCTTAATAAGTTTAGCATTCTAACCAAGTTGGAGACCTTTTAAAATGCTTGATTATTTAGCCGTTGTACTAGGTTGGTAGCTAAGATATTTAAAAAATCTCATAATCCAATTTCCTTTGTCATCGTAAAAGACTCCACCACAAGCAACTGCCCCATAAGAATTAACAGAGCTATCAATATCGAGTCTAACCTACCTTACTTTCAAAGGATACCATTTTGCTTCATATCTGAGTCTGTCTTTATTTAAGATATTTTCTCTAGATAAAAGCCACGTATCATTGCTTATTTGATGGGCGTAACAAAAGGCAATGTCTTTGTCTTGAATATCATCTTCATAATAAATTTTCTTGCATCTTGCTTTCCATATACTCCAACAGACATGAGCAAAAAACTTCTACCAATGCGTTCTTCTTGTGTTAACCTTCCTTATCTCGTTCGTAGCATTCCAAGCTATCCAGTCCTACACATTCAAAGAAAAGAAAGTATTCAGTTTGGAAGGTTTGACTAATTTTAGCCAGACCTCCTTTGCTTCCTTACAATAGCATAGAATGTGTATTGAAGAATCAGGAGAGTTACAACCAAAAGTGCAGGAGTGTTGCATTATGTTACACCCCTCGTCTATTACAAAATTTGACTAAAGACGATCCCAAGCAGCTTTTCAGAGGAAATATTTGAATTTTTTTTATAGGTAGGCCATTTCTAAATTTTGAACTAAATGTCAGAATTGTTTTGTTCATTTTAAAGACCCAATGCATTGTAGGTAGATTTAATAGTGAAATTTCTGTCAGAGGAAGGTCTCCAGCAAAGAATATCATTTTCACCATGTGGGTTAAGGGGTTGCATAAGGGTAATTTGTTTTATCACATCTTGATGAAGGTGGCGACTAAGAAGGTTGAAATTTCATCTTTTGCTGGTGTGCATAGATCAGAAACTTTGGCATGAAGATTAGAATCAGTATTAGGAAAGGCTTATTTCACAAGAGGTTCAGGAAGAAGTGCCCATTTGTAGTACATAGCTACACATTCTCTTACATTTGATATTTTTTGGGTTAAACTTACATTTGATACTGGGAAAATAGTACAAATGATTAGCATGGTCTAAAAGTATATAATAGTCCAAAGTGGCATGGTACTCTCGTGTTTTCAATAATTCCATTATTGAACGCATTTGTAGTGCACAGCTGCACATTTTCTTACATTTGATATTTTTTGGGTCACACTTACATTTGATATTAGGAAAATAGTACAAATGATTAGCATGGTCTAAAAGTATATAATAGTCCAGAGTGGCACGGTACTCTCATGTTTTCAATAATTTCTTTAGAGAGTAGATCAAGATTTTCTCATATAACAAGCTTCACTATTCTTAACTTTTTTCTGCCCCAAAAGAGAAAACCTTAACTTCTTGTTAGCATAGGCATTAGTCTTGCACAACTGCTACAAGAGGAAGGAAATTACTCATCTACCATCTTGAATTTTATTGGGCCTTGATTATTGTTAGGCACCTTACAAAAGACATAGGATTAAGTATTAGGCTTAAAATAATAAGATAATATATATATACACACAAAAAATAATTAAAGTGATTAAATTTAACAAATGTTTGAAACTAACTTAAAAAATAGTAATATTCAGATAATTTTGTCAAGTTTTACAATATGTCGTATCATCTTAAAATCATCTTTAAAGATATATGTTTTTAAATAATAATAAAAATAAAGAAAGAAACTAAAAAATTATTATAAGTTTAAGTGTGTATTTGGATTAAAAAATTTACAATTGAAGTTAGGATTCAACTGAGATTATCAAACTTAGGTTAGAAGAAAAGTTGATGAATGTAACATAATTTATGTTTAGATACCTTTTTTTAGAAGTTAATTAAATAAACTAAAATTTGTTTACATGATTTGATTTAAAAGCCAGTTAAGATATTTAATAACAAAAATAGACATGAATTTTTTTTGTATTTTTAACTAATTAATAAGTAAAAAATTTTAAATATTCATTTATGAAAAGCTAAAATAAATTCATAAATTATAGAATATTCAATTTATATGATCTATAAATTGATCTCCAATTATATCACGAACACGATGCATCTACTTTAATGATCTAGGTAGATTTTAAATGCAAAAATTTTAAATGAGATTTGAAATCTAAAATTCAAATCTAAATCAAGGTATTTTAATTTGCTAGCCCAAAAAAGATATTTTAATTTCGTCATGTATGTTATTTTTATTTATTTTATCAAAAATTATTTAAATTAATGTAAAATGTAATATTATTTACAATTTTTTTAAAAATGAGGGGTGATTTGTTGAAATCATTTTTTGATATTAAAATTACTTATTTTGACATATAATAATTATATTTTTTTTGTTAAATTTATTACCTTTTATTTGAAATCCTAGACACTATTATCACTCTACCAATTCACCATCAGTTCGCAACTTATTGCCTCCTTTTACCATGGTGACGTCTCCTCCATACTCCCATAAGCAGCAACATTTACCCTTACCTTCCCCTGCGATGCCTCTCCAATTGTCAATCTTCATCGATCTCAATCTTTGTCAATCACTCATGGCTCACCCGTATATGACTCCATCTGTTAGCTCTCTATTAGCTCTTTGATCTCAATCTAAAACCCTCAACCTCCACAGACAATAATGGTAGAATGATGTCCACAAGAAGGTGCTGGAGGCAACAATTAGTGCATGCTTAAAGTGAAGACAAAGTAAAAGGTAAAGGGTGGGGGTGAGAGGATAAAGAAGAAAGAAATACAACGCTCATTGAAAAGCTCCAAAATGTGGCTTGAGGAATAATGCTTATTGGAGGCTAAATGCTCGTTTGATTTTTTCTTCTCCCAAACAAGGTTTCAAATGAAATAATGAGCTTTTTACCTCTCAACTAAGGTTTGAGCTATTCCAACCTCACTTGAAAGGTAATCCAAACATCGCCTAAACCTATAACCTAGTGAAAACCCTACCTCTATGTTCATTTAGTTTTCTTTATTCCTATCATGCGGCTGTTGACTTCTCTCTACATAGGTAACTCTTTCTAATTTTCTCCTTCTCCCCCTTCATCATTTTTCTTTTCCCAGTGCATCATTGTTGTGCATGTTCATACATGTTATATGAACACCACCTATAAAGTTGTCAAATATTTAGTTTCTGTCCTTTTTCTTCCTTATTGTAATTGTCTACACTATACCTATTGCTCATGTACAATGTGATACTTAAGAAAACAACAACATCAATAATAGTTGCCTTTTGGTGCTTATTAGTTATGTATATAGGCATATCATTGTTATGTATTTTCCAGTGCATACGTATATGCAGTATGATATTATATATATAAGTAGGTTTTGGCATGAAACTTAACTATTCTAATGAATTAATAAATTATAAAGTGATATGAATTTTAAAAGAAAATTCTGGGGCCTTGAAGGTAGAGCTAAGATTCTAGAATAATTTTAAAGTAAATTTAGGATAGTTGTAAGTAATTCTTAGTGACTTTAAATTTTCTATTAATATTTTCATATGTATGTGATTTCTATAGACTTTCATTAAAAGCTCTTTTTGTTTGGTTTTGTTGTGTGGTTGCTTGCTAGCTCGAGGAGAATAGATAATTTTAGGTTTTTCCATGTGTGCAAGCTTTATGTTTGATAATGAATACATATAATCATAAATTTAATTGTAAGAAATTCATATATTACTCGAGTCCTGTCAAGCATGGTTATAGCTTGGCTATGTATTTGATGCGTAATAATTAGAGAAAAAAGGAACGAGAGGAAACAGAGAGAGAAAGAGACAAAATAGGAAGATAGGAATAGGGAACTCAAGTCTATTATTTTCAAAACTGATTACAATGGTCACATTTGGTGCCCTTTTATAGCTTATACCTGACATTTTAAGTAACTATCCTAACTACCTATTAATTCCTTTAACTAATATTATTTATTTACATAACCATACTCCTCCTCAGAAGACCCTTGCCCTCAAGGGTTAAGTAAAAAAAAATCCTCAAAAAACTTAATTGCAATTTTGAAGAAGACAAGTAAATTGACTAAGGTTGTGTTTGGATGAATGAATTTACGTTAGAAATTTAGATTTAAAATCTCATATTTGATATCTCACATTTGAAATTCATAGATTTTAAATTCATTGTTTGAATAATATAAAAAAATTTAAATTATAATATTAAATTTTTTTTGTTTAGATCTAAAGTAAAATTTTAAATTCTTTATTTAAATTTAAAGGAAACTTGGACGATTGGTCAAAGTTAATAGTCTAAATGGCCAACTTTCACCAAGATAAGACAATTAAAGCTGACTGGGATTGTAGCACTGGTGATGATCGAGACAAGATGGCTTCTACTTCTGTAATTGGACCGGTGCGATGATAGAGATTGAACTGCCTATTTCCAACAGGATAAGACTGCAATGACAATTGGGATTGAAGGGCTGCCTTCTACTAGGATTGGATCATTGGATCGAAAGGCCACCTTCCATTAGGACCGGATCAATGGTGATGACTGGGATCGAATGGCTGACTTCTAGTAGGACTGAACTGACAGCGATGACTAAGATCGGACGATTAATTTTCACTGAGATCAAATTGACGACGATGATCGGGACTTGATGGCTGACTTTCATCGGGACTGAACTGATGGTGAAGACTGGATTAGAATTTCAACTTCCACTGGGATCTAATCAATGGTGATGATTGGGGTTGCACTGTCGACTTCCATTTGGATTAGATCATATTTTAGTCCTTGTCATAGCCATTGATTCAATTTTGGTAGAAGTTGGCTATTATGTCACAATGGAAGTTAGTTGTCTTGTCCTAATCATTGTGGTCGTCATCTGTTCAATTCTGATGGAAGTTTGTCATCCAATCCCTATTATTGCCGTCGGTCTGGTCCTGGTAGAAGATGGCTATCCGATCCCAGTCAACAATGGTGATATTTTTTCTCATAACTTTAGCAATCCGGTCTAATTATCATTGGTGGGCCGATCAAACCTTCATGGATTTGAGTTAAATTATACAAGAAATTAAGTTAGAATTTGAAATAATAGGGGTTTAAAAAGGATTTTAAATTACAAAGAGATTGAAATAGAAATTCATACATATCCAAGCATAGTATAAAGGTATTTTTGGCCTTATTTAAAGTGAAAGCATATGAGATAGGACCATAGGCACATGAATCCACCAGACACTAGGTATTGAACCTTTTAGGTCTGACCCAGTACAGATTCTGGCTATTCCTCCTTTTTTTTCTAGACTAAAGAGTACCATACCACCCTCATATTAACCAACCCACGTGAGCTAGGTAAGCGTTTAAATTTTCAGCACTTAAAACATGCACCTGTGTGATTCTCTAAGCAGAAAAAACAAGAACTTTTTTTCTTCCTTGAAAACTCTTGTATCTCTTATTCTTGAAAACTCCTCTCTCTTTCTTGGAGCTCAAACGCAGCCCTGACTTCATAGAGGCTTCTGGCTATGCAAATGAAATAGAGATAGCAACAAAGAAATGAAGACAGACAATGTTAAGGAAGTATGCAGAGGCCATGATAGATGAAAACAAGAAGATAGCTGTAGTGAATTCAGAAAACCAAGAGTAGATGAGGTTAAAAGCCTATGATCATGAGGGACCTAGGATGAGAAAAACTTTACAACTTGACTGAATTGCTGTTTTGAAACTTTTTGAACAATTCGACTTGTATTAGCTTCAAGGTGCAAAGGCTAAGTGACGGTGATGACCCCTCTTTTTGAGACGGATGACGTCAGCCTACCAATTGGAAGAGAGATATTCTTATTTCTTTTCAAATATGCTTGTATGCGATATAAATATTGTATATGTATAGTATACAGTGACACATCTTGGTTGGGTTTTTTAAAGAAGGGAGCCATAGTCTGGGATTGGGCTCTGTACCTTTGGTCAAGTATATCTTGATTACTGAAGAAGCTTGGTCAGTCCATGATGTAGGGCAAACCGTATTTAAGCTTATGGTTCCATTTGGTGGAATAAAGATGGATGAAGGAATAAGGGGATTATTGGTATTGCATATTAACATGTTATGAACTATATCCTATGAAATTCTTATGTCATAATTGAATGATTTTCGTAGATTCACTAGTATGTTTGTTGTCTGATTGTTTGGTTATGGTTTGTGCTTGTATGATTAAATTTTTGAGTTACTGAGACATTAATGCTCACCCTTTTTTTAATATTTTCCAGGTAAAGGCCTAAGTAGGAATGAAGAGAAGGCGCAGGAGGAGTGAGCCTTTGGCTCTTGTACTCCCCACAACATATACAGGATTATATTTACTTTTTGCCTTGACTATAGAACATTTTGTCATTTTTGAATTATGTTACTTTCTTTTTAGTTGCTTTTCTTGTTAATGGACTGTGGTCCACCATAAACTAATTTAGATTAAGATTTCTAAAATTTGGTTTTATTTTTAATTATGATGCCACAAAAATTTATGTTTTGAATTAAATAAAGTAAGCGAAGCCTTTGTTCTTTTGCAATTGTTTTGCTAATTGTTTAGATGATAGGATAGGCGTTACAACCAACACCCTTCAAAATGGCTGGTTTGAAGGATACAAAATGTATTTTAGTTTATTATATTTGAGAAATGTTTGTTTCTTATGCTTGAACAGGTGCTCATGTCTCTGCCTTCGGGTTTTAGGAGTTCACAGGTACAAATGGTGAGGCCAAATAGACATGAACGTACGGGTGAGTGCTTTCCTTTCCTTTGAATTATATTGCTTCCCTTTCTTATTTTCTTAATTCAAAAGCTGCATTTTGAATTAATTAAATGGGTCATTAAAAATGAATGAAAAGACTATGCTGCCACATTATTTCTTTCCTGGTTTTAATTGTATCTCTCTGATAGTCTGATGTCCCATCAGCGATGATTGAAATGAAAATAAAAATTCACAAATAAAAGCTATAAGAGATAATAAAAGAGGGAAGGAGAGACAATTAGATTTTATAGACTGGTTTTTTGCAAGATCTGTCAAAATTGTTGAAATGTGATATCCTTATTACAGTGTAATACAAGGAGTGACACAAGGAATCCCTGTATTTAAGGATAAAAATCCTGTACAAGTGATCAATTTGGTGAGGCTAATTAGTTGACATGTCAAGGGCCTTTTGGTTAAATTCTACCACCAGACCTCCGAGCATACTTGGATCAATCCGTAATATATGTATATATATATATATATATAGATATAGATATTTCATCACATAGTTTATCTGAAGAGGGAGAAGGGGGCAGAGAAAGATCATAAAAGAATATTAATGATGAATAACACCTGTTCAAGGTGAACCTTTTCCCTGACTCCTATGATCACCTGAAGAGTCTCCTTCAATGTCTGCTCCTCTTCAGGGCGATTAGGCTAGTGTAAACATAAATTGAAATCATATAGTAATCTAAGAGTTATCATTTATTGACAAGTCAACTTGAAAAAGGAGATAAACTAAGGTATTGATGCAGATAATTTAGAAACATGAACTTCATGTTATTTTGTTTCAAAAACAGAAGGTATTGGTGCATTAGAGCCGGAAAATCAAGTTGAGTCTGCGGGTTAACCTGTTTAACTCGCAAAATTTGATGGGTTAAAACAAGCTAGCCTATAAGTTAGCGTATTTTTTATAAAAATAATTTTTTAATTACATTATATTTTTTATAAATCTACAATAATGATAATATTTCTCAAATATATAATTTATGACTCCCGAATATATTCTTTTTATTTAAAATATCGTGTAAATCCTTTTTACAATTTGCAAATAAAATTTTTGTAATTTGTAAATCAATGATTTATTAGTTTTTATTAAAATATTTTAAATATATATTATTTATCAATCTCATAAAATTTATTGATTGAAATCATAAATAAGAATTCATTGAGAAAAATAGTATGGTTTTATATTCAAAATTTCTTTCTCAATGAAAAAGATAACATACCTGGGTGAAAAGATGATTAATAGTAAAAAATTAGCAAAATGAATTTGCTTGGTGGAATTTTATGTTTATTTTATTTATTTACAAGTTCTTTAATTGCTAATTTATTTTAAAATGTGAAATAAATATATATATTTATATTACATAAATTTTAAATTGTTAAAAAAATTTAATAATTTTTTGCGGGCTAGTCCGCTAAAAAATGGGTTAAGTTGAGTTTTCGAACTCATTTTATCTGGCAAGCTGGCCCAACCCAACCTGCAAAAGTACTAACCCATACGGGCTAGCCTGTAACCCATTTGCCCAGTGCTATGGTGCATAACGTTAATTTTTTACCCTTTCATAAGTGAAAGAAGGAGAAATAAAAGGCATTAAAAAGGGTGGGGAAGTTTAGAATTACTAATTTAAAAAAAAGGAAGGAATATTGTTGATATATCACTGTTCACATTCTTTTTGTGGCTTGTAAAGAAATGCCATATTTAGAAATTTATTTTTCCCCCATTTTGATAGGGAATATTGTTGTTATCAATTGCGATTAATTATTAAAAACATACCTCTTTTAGGTGGAGGAGTTGCAGGTTCTTTTGGTACTAATTTTACCCCTCATATCATTATTACGTTTAATTATTGGAAGGCAAGCATCTGACACATTTACTTGCCATATTGAGCTTTTGTTGTGCAATTCAAAGTTTTGTTCTTCAATTTTTTTTTAAAGTGAGTAAAAGCATGTCTATAATATTCCCAACCCTGCATGTCAAATCAGCCTAGGTGGTCCTTCATTTTTCTTCATCCTCGTCATCATTTAAAGTATCATGCTCAACTGCTATTCAAGGGCTGAAAGTTTGCAATGCCTTTCAGCTATGGTGAAAAATGCTTTATTTCATACTTTATTCACTGGCACTTCAAATACATAAAAGTTCAGCTCATTTAAGTGGTTTTGCTCTCCAACATCTACGGTTTCATTGTAATGTTGATTTTCTTTTCATCCTTCCATAAGAGCAATTTTTGTTCTCCTGCCTTTGTTCCAAGAAGATTTGGTTTATGGCCATTTTCACATAATTTTGTTGCATAACTATGAAAAACATTGTACCTATTATACTTAGCTTTTTTTTTTAGAAGGCAAATGTTGAGACATTTGTGGGCACGGTTTGAACTGGCGATTTAAGCATCACAAGGATGTTGCTATGCCAGTTGAAGCCAAGGTTCTTAATGTTATACTTAGCTTTTGTTAGTCATATGGTGTGATCTTATGTGGCAACCCAGTTGGTATCCAAGATGGTATCCCACTTGACAATCAAGTCCTAGATGATAGTATATGTGGCAATAAAGTCCTAAGTGACATGCCATGTTACCAAGTTATCTCAAGCCAATTCATCTAAGTAGAGGAAAGTCTAAGTAAAGATATTTATATTCAAAATACTATAATACATAGTGGGAGCCCAAATCAACACATTAAAAGCCTAATACATAAGCATACACATTAAATTAAGGCATAATCTTGCAGACCTTTTTTTATTTAGTACATGTGATTCAAGAACGAATTGAATCTTCTTCAAGAGGGAGGAAATGACAAGAATCAAGGGATAAGTCAGAATCGAACATTTAGTAACTTTGATCTGTTGTAGGATGTTAGAGGATCAATGACTAGATCTAAAGCTAAGATGATTAAAAAAGCTCTAAATTCATTAATTAGAAATGTTCTAAATGATCAAGAGGTCCTAAAGATAAATGGAGTTCTAGAAGATCAAATAAAAACTCTTAGAATATTAGGTCTAACTTGTGATATTTAGGCTATGAGTCCAGTGAGTTTAGTTATTATCATTTTCTTAAATTTAAAAAATTAGTTTATTTTATTTTATTTTAAATTTAAGTTTAGGAAGATTAGTTTATTTTGTTTTAAAGTTAAATAAGGATAAAATATATCTATTAAGGATATGATTTATTCATTTGGAATCCTAGATTAACTAGGATTGTGTCATTTTGATTTTTAGAAGTCTATTTAAATAGTTCAACCTATTGTTTTTTTTTTAAAAAAAGACTAGATATGAATTTATGAATTGAAATTATTTTTAATAGTGAGACTGTTTCAATTAGTGTTGTTCTGTATGAGATAACACATCATGAGATTTCGGATTATTGTGAACTATCGTTTGGTTGCCCCGTATCATCTCTACTAAACATTTTGATCCATTTAAAAATATTTGAGCTAGATGTCTGCTCCCTTGCAAATCTATATTCAATTTCATATTGTGAATCCCTTATTTCTTTATATTTTTCTTTTTCATCAAACGGGAAAAAGAAGAGGTGACAAAGGAAGACATCTGTGTTAACTTTCAAAGTAGACCAGCAAAGAACTTATCATAGTGTCAGGTGTTTGTAGAACACTTACAGCATGCCTGAATAGATTTTTGGTAAAATTTAGCTTGATAAGAAATAGATAAAAAAGAACAAGAATGATATTTATGGTTTAAATGCATATGGTCTTTGGTTTATCACATAAAAGGTGGCACAGTTAACTATGAGTAGTAATGCATTCAATATGTTGGCTTAAAGATTCATTCATATTTAGGACAGTTGATTAATATATTTTTCAATTGCTATACTAACAGCACAAGAGGGGGGAGAAGCACATTACGAGGGCTTAATTTACCATTAATAAAAAGAACAAAAAGCTTATCTTTTTATTATTATATTTTCCAATTGCTATACTAACAGCGCAAGAGGGGGGAGAAGCACAGTACGAGGGCTTAATTTACTATTAATAAAAAGAACAAAAAACTTATCTTTTAAACATTATCTTTATGTCAGTTGACTTTAACCATGTAATATGTATAACTTGTATTGTACATTTCTACAGTAAAGTCATTACCGATTTACCCTTAGCTCTAATCTTGTAGTATAGAAGGTATTATTTGCAACTTTGTTGTATTTTTTGGAACCTCTATTTTGAGTTAAATATTATGTATACACACTCCCTCCAATTCTTAATATAAAATGAAGTTTGAAAAGTTTTTTGTTCTAAATATAAGATAAAATTAGAGTAATTAATATATTTTTTTCAACTTTACCCCCTATTTATTGTCATTTGAATTCTTACATAACAATTATTATGATCCAATAATTATAAAGAAGGGTAAAAGGGAAAGGCTATAGCCTTTTTTTTTTTTTTTACATTTCAAGTTTACAACCAACATTTTTTAATAAGCATAAAGTTTGTTAACTTCATCTTATATTAAAAATTAAAGTAATACATGCCATTCTCAACCGCAACTCATTAAAAATTTGGACATGTCTTTTTCAATTGCTATATTAGCATCACTAAGAAAAAAGAGCGACATTACCACGAATTACTTTACCATTGACCAATTTACAAAATTTCTAAATTTTGAACAGTGTCATCATGCCCATTGACTATAACTGTGCATAACTTCTTTTCTTTTCTTTTTTTATTGATAACCATGCATAACTTCTATTGTCAATATATATGACTAAATTGTTATTAATACATCTTTCATGTATTGCTCAACTCCTTATGATATGGAAAGTATAGTCCCAAACACTCAGACCATTGCCCGAGTTTATTTCAAATAAATCAATTACTCTTACTGGCTCAACAAGAACAAGAGGAATTTTATTGGTGATCGGTTTTTAATAAGTTTACCATGTTCCAAAACTTTAGATGTCTCCATGACAGCTGATTATTTGCACATCACTTGTATTAAAAATTTCTAAATTGAATATAAATAATTAATTCATCATTAATATATTATTCAACCATAATTTTTACAATTAATTTTACCATATTCTGCTCTCATTATTCTTTTCTAAATGATCCTATGAGATTTTTATAATAGGTGCAATTATGCCTACTTATAGACTAACAAAATTGTTTCTTTTCATAACTCTCACCGTCATTCATTGACTCCCATACTAATTATTTTAAATTAAAGATTCTCAATACAATCTCATCATCACTACAAAACAAATTCACTTCTCATTTCCAAATTGAATTGATTTTACAAGTATACTAATAACGCTACTCAATCCCATTTCATTACACACCCATTTACCTTCAAAAACATGAACTGCCCGTGCAACACCTGGGGAGTGCGATCTAGTCAAGTTAAAAATATTTGTGGCAATCAGTTGAGCCAGCAAAGTAGCAACTTTTGTCTATAAATACCAATAGATGTGAAAGAACAAGAGGACTTATAGAAGTTACAGAACAAAGCAAGTCTAAAGTAGTCCTGTCGGCAAATTTCCCAACCTTATGACAAGAAAGCTAGAGGAATATCCCGAATTATTGACATATAATAAATCGAAGTTCAAATTACATATAAGATGTCTAAAGAAGGTGAATAGCTTGTGTTCAGTCGCCTGCGATGTACAGTTTTAGAGATGGAGAGGGCAAGCGGGCGCTCGGTTATGCCTGTGATTAGGGGTGTTCATGGAACCCGATTGCCCGACATGCCCGTCCAAACCCTGTGAAATTTTGCCCAGCCCAGCCCGAAAAAAATAACCCAACATAATTTGGGCATTTTTGGGCTAGGCTGATTTTCGAGCAGGGCTGGGCAATGGGCAAGGTATGCTGCCCTGCCCGTTTGGCCCAACCCGAAACACATGTTTGTAATTTTTTTTAACTTTTGATGTGCAGATAGCCAGAGATGCTGATCTGCATCTGCCCAGCAAGAACAGCCAAGGACCAACTTGAATTGACCAAGGAGGACAAAAAGACAAGCCCAGCCGGCAGCCCACATAGCCTCACGCCCTCACCTCTTACTCTCTAACCCTAGTAGAGCAGCAGTTTGAGTCTCCTCCACTTGCCTTGCCAGAGTCTAGACCAGAGTCCCGTCATTGTCCCTAGCAATCTCCGTCAGCGAAGCATCTCAGTCTCATTATCTCAGCATCAGCGTCCAGCGAGAGCGACTCAGCGTCCCACAACCACAAGCAGCAAGCTCCAATCCAATCTCAATCTCCAATATCCATTCTCTACTATCATCTCTCGTCATCATCGTGTCGAGCGCCTCTCACAACTACGAGCCGCAAGCTCCAATCCACCGTTAGCCTTTGCTTGCAATTGTTCTCCTCTCACACACAAGTTTAACTTTTCCTACCTCATTCCCTTTATAGAAAAGATCTTTCTGTGGATATTTTTTTGCTGTGATGCTATGCTGTAGTATATTTTTCAATCTAACATCTGAAATATCTTTGAAATTGTCTCCTCTCTCTTTCATACTATATCCAGGAGTTGAAAACTAAGAAAGAGCTTGGTTTTTTATATTCTGCAGGAGGGATCGTTAACTGCAGATCAGCTCATGGAACGCATAGAAGCCGGTCTCAAAGTTAAGCAATAACCCTAGGTAACCGGCATTTATACCTAATATTTAGACACCAGTTTTATAGAAATCAGAATTACTCACCTCCATAGTCCTTACTCTATTACTCATTTAACCTTTTTCTTTTTTTCTTTTCTTTTCTTTTCTTTTTGTTTTAGGATAGAGGGCTCTAATGCAGTATTTTTTTAAAAAAAAATTGGGACTTGATTGTTGTAATGTATATTATTACAAGTACTGAACTTGAGAACTAGTCTCAATTTTTTGGCATGGTACTATACTTTTGCTTAAATAGTGGCCCGAAAAATTCTCGAGGAAAATGAAAGCAGAACCACATTGTAGCTCTAAGAGGTTGCTGGTCTCTCCCATAAGTCTGTAATAGTAAAAACCGTTGCACCCCTCTGACTGCCAAAGACCCCACTAAAAGCAACACGCATCTATTTTCTCCTCCTAATAGGCATCAATGTTGGTCGATTGTGTGTTTTTCAATTTTGTCTATGCTGTTCGTTTATACTGTTTACTTGTTCTGCTGTTCACTCATCTCTGTCTCCACTCTTAAATCTTGATCAGTTCGCGTCTGCCCAGGTTTTTCAATTTGTTCTTCTTTATTCTTTTAGTACATTTTCATAGTAGTCTATTTGATTTGATTTGTTTCTGTCTGGAAAAAATGCTCTGTTGATGAAAATTCTGATACGAGACAATTCTGGAAAAAATGCTCTGTTGATGAATATGTTATAATGTATTAATGTTACTTACATAATACATTGCACACACTTTATCTGATTGGCTATTGCAAAATGAGGGGGGTTATTTATCTGATTGCTATATGATTTGATAAATGAATTTTATTCCAAAATGACTCTTCTGCATCTCTGTTAATGTTATGTGTATTTCTTTGTGATTGTTATATGATTGGTCATTGGATAATAAGCTTGATTTTGTCTTTTTATGAAATTTATGGTTCTGTTTCTGTAATTTTGTTATGCTAGCATAGAGGATCAAGCTTCAGTTGCATTACCCTCTGGGACATCTCAAACACCAACCCCTACTGGACCTTCCCATTCATCAACCCCTACTGGACCTACACAAACCCCAACTCATACTCCTCCTACACAAATAGCAGCCCCTCCCCCTCAATCTGTCCCTCGCCCTGGACTTCCTTCTCTTCCCCCTCATGCTCCTCCCACCCAAACACCCACAGAACATGTCACATAAGTGACAGATACTGAGAGAAGGGGTCGAAAAAGGAAAGAAAAGGAACCCAAACATACATCAGAGGTGTAGGATTACTTTGTTAGGTTGCCTATAGAAGAAACTAATGGGGAGCATAGAGCAGCATGCAAGTATTGTCACACGACTTATGCTTCTAATCTATCACGCCATGGGACACATTCTTTGTTGAGGCACATCTCAAAGTGTCCAAAGAACCCTCACAAGGCCACTAAAGATAAGAAACAAGCAATGATAAATCTATTATCTCGTGGGACAAGTGGGCAAGGAAAATCTTTAGTCACTCACTTATATGATGAGAAAAGGTGTAGAAGAGCTCTTGCTGAATTTATTATTTGTGATGAGCAGTCATTCAGAATTGTTGAGAAGCCCTGCATTTAAGAAGTTGTTAAATGAGTTTGAACCTCGCTTTCCAATCCTTTCAAGAACAACAATTGCGAGGGATGTGTGGCAGTTATATCTTGGTGAAGTAAAAGTGCTAAAGAAAATCTTGAAGCAATGTTCTAAGCGTGTTTGTCTCACGACAGATTGCTGGACGTCAAACCAAAATTTCAATTACTTGTGTTTGATGGCATATTTTATTAATAATGAATGGAAGCTTCACAAAAGGATCCTAAGTTTTGTTATGATTGAAAATCATAAAGGTGAGACTATAGGGAAGACCATTGAGCAATGCTTATTGGATTGGGGTATTGATAAGGTGTTTAGCATAACTATGGATAATGCTTCATCTAATGACACGGCTTTGGGATATTTTAAAAGGAGGTTGAGAAGTTGGAAGGGCTTAATTTGTGGAGGAGACTATCTACAATTAAGATGTTGTGCACATGTTCTTAATTTGGTGGTCAATGAAGGCATCAAACACATGAAAGATAGTTTTGAAGCCATTCGAAGTGCTGTGAGATATGTTCGGTCTTCTCCTTCACGGTTTCTAAAGTTTAAAAATTGGGTTGAATCTAAAAAAATAAAAACTAAGAGCCTTGTCCGCCTTGATGTTAGCACTCGATGGAATTCAACATATTTGATGTTAGAAGCTGCAATGAAGTTTCAAAAGGTGTTTGAGCGGATGCGTGATGAAGATGATGACTATATTGCATTCTTTAACTCTAAACAAGAGGGAGGTGTTTTCTCTGGCCCTATTCTTGATGATTGAAAAAATGCTAAAGTCTTCATCAAATTCTTAAAGATCTTTTATGACATAACTTTGAAATTTTCAAGCTCCCTTATTGTAACATCAAATAATTGTTTTCATCAAATTGCTCGTGTTCAAAAATGTTGCAGAAGCATATTGGAAATAGTGGTAATACTTTTTTGGCATAAATGAGCTTTAAGATGCATATGAAGTTTGATAAGTATTGGGGTCAGGCAGATAATATGAATCCATCATTAATTGTGGCTGTGATTTTAGATCCTCGATACAAATTAGTTTATGTAAATCACATGTTTGAACTCCTTTTCAGTAACCCTGAAGAATGTGCATTGATGATGGATAAGGTCAAAACTTGTTTGTATCGATTGTTTGATGAGTATTCTGTTGGGATTTCTACTGAATCAGGGCCTACCCATGTTAGTAATGCATCTACAAGTTCATTGCCCTCTCTTGATGACAATGATGATGACGACATTGAGGATCCAGGGGCAATGTGGTTAGAGTCTTTGAAGAAAAGAACTTCAATGGATCCACAAAGTGAGCTAGATAGATATCTTGCAACTGATTCTAGAGATGAAATCTCATCATCTGATTCTGAGTTTGACATATTATCATGGTGGAAAGCAAATTCTGAAAAATATAAAATTCTCTCCCACATGGCACGAGATGTATTGGCTATGCCAGTTTCTACAGTGGCTTCTGAGTCTGCATTTAGTACTGGTGGACGTGTAGTTGATCAATATAGGAGTTCTTTATCTCCTAAAATGACAGAAGCATTGATTTGTGGGCAAAATTGGCTGCAAAGTGGGGAATCTCTATTTGAATTGGTTGATAAGCTCCATGAGTTTGATAACTTTAATGAGACAAAAAATATTATTCAGCTTACAAGTAACAATTTTTTTTTCTAAAGTTTACACATGCACACATACACCCTTTATTTTAGTTTTTATATTAATGTAATTTTTTTTTGTCTTTAGATGCAACACTTGGAGGGGAGAATGCGACTGCTAGTGTTGATTGAAGTGTTTCTTTACAAGTATATCTTGACCCTTTATTAACTCTTTGAAAAATTAAATAGCAAGTGTGTAAATTTGGTTAAATTGGATGAAATGGACACTAGTGATAGGTCCCTTATACATGCATGCCCCCTGCTGGCCCCCTTTATTCTGCTTTGCTATTTACCAAAGTTATGCTTTGGCTACTGCAGATTCCATTTCTTTTGACCCCTTTTATCTAGAGGAGGGCAGATCTGATGCATTCCAGAACAAATGTTGGCTTGCATATGAGTTTCCTTTTACTCCATTCAAGATTTACTATGCATTTTCCTTGAATAAGGATTTTAATCTGTTTAGTTATGACATATTTTTCCTCTTCCATTCATACAGGTTGGGAGTTAGGAAGAAGTCTTGTTAATTGGAGTCTACTCTTTCAAATTATTGTTTCTCATATGATGCTCCAAGCTTTTGTGAAATTTGTTGTTTTCAATGATCATAACTGTTATTTTGGATTCAATTATGGATAATTTGATATTGTACCAAGACTTGTTTTCAAGTAGGGTGTTGAATTATAGATAATTAGATATTGTGAATGTCATTATTATTGTGGATTTATGAATGCTATTTTGAGTTGATGCATAAGACTATTGTTGATTTGTGAAAGTTTTATTTCAAAATGATAAAAAAATTTGTGAATTTAATGGGCAGAGCGATTATTTGATGGGTCGGGCAAAGCTGCCCAGTCAGCCCAGCCCAGCCCAAACTAATAGGGCATTTTGTGGGCAAGGCTGAACTTCGAACTGTATTTTGCAGCCCATTCATTCTTCAGACTAGGCATCGGACATATTCTTGCCCAACCCAGCCCTGTCCATGTGCACCCCTACCTGTGATGCATAGTGACATTGTAGGGGCAATCAATCATTGCTCGAGAGAATGCTAAACCTGAAAGTTGTTGTGAGCGGATTCCCTCGTAACATCTATTCATTCATTTAAAAAAGGTGTAAACTGAGTAAAAGACACCAGATTTCAGTAGAAGAAGTCATCAAAGGATGACTGTGACAATAGTTCTATCTATATGCCTATCTCTGATAAGAATGCTGTGCCATCTGCCTTTGATCTCTTGACACACAAAGCATTGCTCCTGCCTCGTGCGCCCAAAACAATAAAAGGCCATTGCCCCCACGTATATACACTTATGAAATACTGTACAGTGAACACGCTAGTCAACGCCGAATGGGTTTTCAATAACGAATCCTATTTGTAATAGTAAAAACCAAATGTGCCCCCAAAAAAATGACAGCTATGCTCTAGCGGACTGTACATCTTACCTCGCCGCTTTATCAAATATAAGGAGGCTTATAAAAAAGAAAAAAGAAAAGCATTTAAAAAATTTTTTACAGCTAATCTACAAGCAACTATCAATCTTCTGGGCGTTGAATCTCACCCATCATGATCCGGTTGCTAGAGACCTTGAAACCAAGAAGGGAAGGATCTATCTGTTTTCCCCTTTTCCCCTTCTTTTTGCCGCTCCGAACAGCTTGTGATCCACCATCAGACGATTCTGCGGCAGCTCCACTGGCTGCGTCCATCTCATGAAGAATTGGCCTTTTAAGCATGTCTATAAAGGATGTCTCTGAGACTGCACCATCGCTACCAGAGGAAGTTCTCCTAAATAGGACCTCTTTTCTACCAGAAGCCTGAGCATCAACCACGGTACTAATTGACGAGTTTCCAGAAGGCTCTCTTCTCCCTAATGTAGAACTCATCATTTCAATTTCTCAGGTATTAATCAGAAAAGAAACAGAGAATATAGCAAAACAATAGCACATACCATCACTAGCATGAGGTAAAGATGATTGGTCTGACTGAACGTCTGGGGAAGATAAAACACGAGATACAGGAGGGCGCTTTTGGAAATGACTATCAAGTACTTTCGTTGAAGGAGACACCCTATCAGTAATATAGACATAATCAAAATTTCGTCACTAGTAGGCCAACATAAAACTCACACAAGCGAACAAGCCATTTATTACAATTTACATTATTAACTGGCTTCTCAAACAATTACACGCTCTTACACATTTAGCACAAAGATCACTTTATGAGCAGTAGAAAACTCCGATCTCAATCATCTAGAACAATCATCAATAAGCATGTAGAAAAAGGCGAGGTAATGGTTTAAAGAGCCCCATTTTGCTCTTTTTTATTTTGGGAGGGGACGGTATGAGAAGGAAGCGAAAAATCTAAGCAATTATCACTCATCAGCTTTCAAAATTCAGATAACATAGTACATAAAATCCTTCACAAGTTCTATTAAAAAAAAAAAAAACAATCCTTCACAAGTGCATTCCTAACTTTCATTTTTGTAGGGAGTCATGGAACATTACCTGTCATTAGGAATCTCGTCTACCCGTGAATTACTCAAACCCATCTCACGATTGTATGGGCCCCCATCGCTGCCTGCAATGTTCATGCCCAACAATGATCAGTGAAATTTATACCATTTACAATAAGTTTGCAGAATGTGGAGGAGAATTACCTGCGCTGCATAGTGAACTATGTCTGCTATGCGCAGTAGCTGGCAATTCCATGGAATTCATGGTGCTTTGTAATTGCTCTGACAAGTCTGAGATACCTGAAAGCGATGCTTTCATTGTTCCTACAAACTCATGCCTCTGACCCTTATCTGCCTCCAACTCAAGTAAGTCTTTTTCCACAGTTGATTTACCAATCAAGAGTGGATTTCTGTAACTGGTATGTAAAGTATCTTTATTAGCAGATAAGAATGACTGCTCTTCCACTATCAATCCAGATCTAGACTGAATAGGCAATTTTTCATTGTTCCTTAAATTATCAGCCATCTGCATGATAAGGTGATCTTGTATTTGGATTGTGGAATTGGCACTTCCAGGCCTTTCTTCAAATGGATCATTCAAATGGATTTGTTGATCTTGTGAAATCTCAAAAGGATAATTTAGTGAGTCAGAATCCCGAGCATGCCAAGAGTTGTCCTGACTTCTTGATGACAGAGGATGCCAATTATCAAAATTTGATGATTGTGTGGATTGAAGACCCCGTTTATGATGAAGTAGGTCCATTAAACCTCGTGCAGAACTCTCATCACATGCTCCGGCAGATGCAGGCATGTTTAGATCAGCTGATGAAATGGTACCCCCTAGCTCTATTCTGTGTCTCCCAGCTTCAAGATGTTGTAGTTGAAGCCGTGGGTCAGTCCAACTATTTTCCAGATGACTGTTGTTACCAGAAAGGGAATGCTTGTATGCATCCGGGTGACGAGCAAAGAGTTCATCGGATGCTTGTAGATGTTGAGAGGATAAAGAACTAAATTGATCAGTGGGATGCATATAGCGAGGTCGTTCTTGTAGGTCCATTCCTTGGACAGAAGCATTTACACCATCAAAATTCATTGCAGGAACACCAGCAGAAACCATTGGAGACCTCTCAAACATCAAAGAATTAGGCTCATAGAACCCTCTATGGTTCTGCTCAGCAAGATTCCTGCTCAGATAGTTTAACTGTTCATCTTGTGCCAAGAGTCCATGCTGCGTTTTGTGAATATCAGAGGAATTAAAGCCTGCTGAGGAAGTAAGTTGATGGGTTGAAGAATTTCTTAGTAGATGTCCAGTGTCATTGATTGGCCACGACCTTCCAAATTGTTGTTCCCCCTCCAATCCTAACTGTTGTCTCAGAGCCATAGATAGCTGTTGTGCTTGCAACTGTTCTTGCTGAAAATGAAGTTGCTGTTCAGAGGGAAGGATGTTCCCATGCCTTGCTTGCAACAAGAGATCCGACAGGTCAGATTGCCTTTCTTGGACAGCATTGAGACCAATATTTGCTCGGATAATCTGCTCCATTGATGGATCAAGATGCCTCAAGGAACAAGGATTCTGCTGCAAGTCATGCAATACCTGCCTCCTCAACTGAACCTGATCAAAAAGATCATCCCTTATAAGATCAAGTTTTGGCTGCCTGAAATTAGGATCAGGTATCTGCTGATGCATAAATTGTTCAAGAAGCAATTGCTGAGCTTGTGATTGCTGCTGTAATTTCATTTGTTGGAGAAGCTGTTGTTGGTGCATCTCATGCTGCTGTTGAAGCTCAAGCTGGCGTTGCTGTTCAATCTGAAGTCCCATAAGATGTTCATAATCTGATCCTGAAGTCTGGATCATCTGCTGAAAATTAGAGTTCCTGCTCTGAGAAAGTGAAAGGCTTGGAACTCTCTCTAAATCCGGCACAGTATGATGGGAAGCAAAATGAGAAGGTAGACTATTCTGCTGTTGAAGTCGTTCCTTCTGCAGCTTCTGCAACATGAGATGCTCTGCACTATCAAAATTATTAAATTTTGGTCCCATATGGGACAAGTAGTGATCATCTAGAGAACCTATACGAGCATTGGGATTAAATTGCCTATTTACTGCATATTCATCAGACCATGTGTCCCTGTATGAAGGATGATTAGCCACACCACCAAGAGAGCCTTGATCAACAAAAATAGCATCTCTATCAAGCAATGGATCCACATGATGGCCCTCATCACCTAATCTTGAAGATACATTGGAAGATTTTGCACGCCTTAAACAAGAACCATCTATGAGCTCAGACATCAATAGACCAAAGGGATGCAGCTTATCAACCTCATTATGTGTATCACTCCCAGAAACTTCACTTGCAACCATTTTTCCAGAAGGATGGGTATGTGAAGTGTGGACATCAGCAGGCCTTGTCAAAGAGCTATCATTGCTGCTTCCGGCCATTCTGGATAAGATGTCTACATAGAGAAATAAATATGCATGAAGATTAGAAATAGATGCATAAACAACAGATATGAATCAATAGATTGATCATAGACTAGTTAATGGATGGCCATAGTAATGGCAAAATGAGAAAACAATCACTTACTGTCATCTTGCTTGATAAAATTTGTGAAGGACTGATCATTTGAGAACCTGGTTTCAGAGTGAAAATTTTGACTAGGCATTTGGGAATGAATACCAACACTCAAGGTAGCATCAGATTGAGATGAAACCCAAGATTGATCATCTACTATGGTAGACACATCATAGTCAGGAGAATGCGCATTTACTGTTTGGTTCCTTCCACTGGTCTCAGAAGGTTGGGGTTGAGAAATCAGGTTACCCCCAGAAATGGATCCAGATTTCAGTTTAAGATGAGGCATAACATCACCAAGTTCTTGAAAGGGTGATCCTTCAGGAGCATTTGACAATCGAACTGGTAAATCTGTCCCAAAAAACCCTTGTTCAAACCATAAAATGATGTCAATCCCAAGAAAGGGTCCTTGAATTACCCCTTGAGGATCAAGATAGCACAAACTTAACTCCTCCAAAGGGGTACCAATCTCAGATGAATGTTTCCTCTCATTAGTTATCGTGTCTTGTTCATTAATTCTTGGCATTCGCTGCAGACGTGAAAATTCAAAAAGAGAGCGAGAATCATGGTTCTGAAGGACTGGAGCCAGTTCCTGCTGGCTTTCACAAATTCCTGGTTTAGAAACATTGTCACTAGGGGTACTAGCCTCTCCAGTGCTGCTGGCAGAGTTCTCATCTCTCCTATGTACATCAATTGTCTGCATATGCTTCTGATTTCCTTCTTTAAAAGTCGCAGTGTCTGAAAGGGCACAATGATTTTGTAAACAATGTTTATTTGAAACTAAATGGAACTTCGTCTGATTAAAACAATTACAAAGATAAGATCAATTCCTCACCATCAACTATATTTCTTAATGAAGCACCAGCATTTGAAGGTCCACCCATAAAATCACCATCACCATTCAAGACATCAGATCCTGATATAACCCCTCCTCCCATGCCAATTGAGGTAGTGATTTTTCCTTCCCTTACATTCTCATCAATGCCTGAGGAAAACCAGAGAGTCTCAATCAAAAAGGTTTAAGCTAACTGATCAGGACTGACAGAAATAATTTATCACCTGATGTATCATCAGTTGAGCCTCCGTCCTTGCCTCTAAAGGAGTAGCTTGAGACTTCACTGCTAGTAATTTTCCCCCTCCATATATCTCTAAGGACAGCCTGCGATCATTATCCATGACTTGAGAATAACAATGGTGCAAGTGCTAGTGACACTTTAAGCAGATCTTCGAGTACACAAATATAAATGTTAAATGGGTTGAATCAAAAGACATAGCAAAAACTTTCCCATGTCTTCAATGTATAAAATTCATTAAATTAATAGCAGCAAGCCATTCCACGTACCTCTTCCTCAGAAGCTGGAGCAACAAAAGCCAATGGTTCTACAGAGCCAAGCTGAGTTATTGTTGGTATATGCTCCACACCAGCAGGCATGATGTCAACAGTAAGATCAATCTTTTGTTTACGATATATGTCTAGTAGCTTACCCCTAGGGTAGGAATATAAGTCTGAGTTAAGGCTAGGCTTTCCCAATATGACTATGTTCTTATCCATGAGTGCAGACCCAAAAGTAGAGCCCAAGATAGGTTTTCCAATTTGTAGGTTCGCATTGATATTGGCCCTTCCTCGTCCAGGAGCAAATCGCACATTGGAAGCCTCTACACGTCCTTTTTCAAGTCCAAATCCAGGAGCAGCGCGGTATGTGGCCACGGCACCCACTTGAGTTTCCATTCGATGGCGTGGTCTCCATTTATCACGAGATTCAGTGTCACGTTCAGAACCTGCCCGGTTAGTAACACCAGAGGATTGCTTTTCAACATAAGCATCTTCCTTCTCAACATCATTCCTTTTGTCACTCCGTGAATCCTTCTCCTTATCTTCAGGTCCCCATCTCGATGACCACTTGTTCTCTCTACGAGACTCATGGCCAGAACTACGGCTATCATGCCAACGGTCAGAAGACAAGCCTCTATTATCAGGTGTTGAGGCAATTTCTGAGCGACGATCTTCTTTCTGCGATCTCTTCTCCCAAGTAAGCTTGTTTCCCTCTCCTCTTCACGCCAACGGCGACTAATGTCAACATCTGGGACAGTCCTCCTCCAATCTTTCTTGTCTTGAGACCCATCCAAACGCCAACTATCTTTCAGTATGGGATCAGTAGCATTCCCCTGGAACAAAGGAACAAGCAGATGATCGCCTATCAATTTTCATGGTGGAGCAAGACATTGTGCAAATAAAAAAGAACGAGACAACACAAAAGTAGTGTTAACATTATAATACATTACAGCATGAAGAAACAATCTACTTCTAATTTTAAAAATAAATGAATCTAAAATAAACTATTCTGTAAAAAATGAAATAAAATAAACCTTGTGCACAATCACAAGAATGAAAGAGAACGTGACCAAACAACACTTGAATGGTACCTGTTCCTCCACGAAACAGGAAGGGCCCTCATTGCTGTCTAGATTCCCCCCCTCCTCTTTGTCTAGAGAAGAGCAGAATCTTCACTCTTAGCAAAAAGAAAAGAAAAGAAGAGAAAAAAGAATGATGCATGGTAGCTCCAATAATGATGATCAAGAGCATCTAAATCAATAATACTAGCCCCAACCACAAACTCATTAATATTTCATGAAATTGTCAGGTCAAGAAAAACGCCATTATCCTCTGGAAGAATCTACGAATTTAAAAAAATCAAAGTGCAGATACACTATAAGTGCATGAAGTTTTACAACACACAAGAACCCTAGAAATTTGCAATTGGTAGTCACTAAACTAAAAATTTATCACAATACACCAAGGTCATGACAAATTCCCTTCCACAGATTTATTGCTCATTGACTTGCCCACTGTGAAGAAAGGGGGAAATCAAATAATATGTGCCAGATTAAATCAATTTGCAAACTACATGTCTGCTAATCTTATGGAATCCAGCTAGAAAATAATGTAAACTACCACAAATAAATCTAGATTCAAGCAAGGGTTGTACTACATTTCAAAAGCTACCAAGAAATTTAGTCAAAGCATAGTGAAAATCAAGAACGCTGTACAAACTTGAAAGCGATTGAGCACAAAGATCAGACTTTCAGTCTCTAGAAGAATAATTACTTGCGATATAGAGCCTCAATAGGCAAATAACATAAGTGGAAAGGCAATAAAAGTATAAAACTTTAGAAACAATTTCAGCCAATTCAAAAGAGTAGGTATTGGCGTATTGCATACCACCACGGTGTTGGTAGATGATACCCTTGCGTCAATGGGCTTGGAATAGAGCCATTGTGGAGATAAGGGTATGCTGTTGTCAGGTGACACTTGATCTGAAAGAAAAATCAATTATCAACCAATCACCTTCACCTAACATGCATAATGGGAGAAACGCAACTAAATGTTTGATTTATAGTTAAGTTACACTTTCACAAAGATTTAACAAGTACCTTTCAAATCATCAAGCACACCAACAATACCTTTCTCCTCACCATGCCCTTCCAATGCTTCATCTGGCCCATACAAAACGTCAATGTTGAACATGCAAACAAACAAGTAAAACATAAAGATAGGATTACGCTATTAATAAAGTAAACCAAATAAACTTAAATGTCAGGAGGAGTGCCGTAATTTGCATTTACATAATGCCACGAAAACTAAAATAATCATCAACTAAATCCATGAAAGCGTGTAAATCAATGTATCATTCTGACTTTGCTGATACCGAAAATAGCAAACACCCCCCCCAAAAAAAAAAAACACGCGCGCGCGCACGCACACACGCACACACAAAACTGAAATAGTGAGCTGTGAGAAGAAAACTTAACAATAAGAGACGGGCGAACATATCAATCTCCACACCTTAATAGTAGGGGCAAACTCACTCCGAGACAAACCGCGACCATTGATAAATCATAGCATCGATAAAATAATAAATGCATCTAATCCAAATTAAGCTATTAAACATACTGAGACAGCTAAAACGAGACTAGCGGAAATCGAAAGACACTTCAATCCTCAATATGAAGTAAGGTCAACCGGAAAAATACATAGGCGAGAGCCATAAAATATTCGGCCTGGCAGGAGTGAGTCCTCCTTATGATATACACATATAATACATGGTAGATTTAGATTCAACGGATCCAGACAAGTAACAATTTCAAACGAGCACATATTGCAATGAAGATTACAACAGGTATGATTAGATGAGGAAAAACATCTTTACGAAGAAAATTACCTTTAACAGAGAAGTGTCCATCGGTAGTCTTTGAGAAGAGATCGTCGGGAACATTGGCCTTTCCGTCAGCCATCGTCGTTGAGAGCAAGATTGCTGAAATTCTGAGACGAAGATCCGAAAAAAGAAAAAGAGTGAGCTTGAATGCGACGAGAGGAAAAAATGGAGCTCGGATTGATACCAGGAGAGTAGCCTCGAGAATGAGAGGAACCAAGGAGAAGAAGCTGTAGGGTCTGTGAATTGCTGAATATGAGGCAGAATAATGGACGACTTGGGAGAACAGAGGGGCAGAGAGAAAGAGAGAGAGAGGAGGCAACGGCGAGAGGGGTAAGGGTTTGGGTCAGAATAGCCACAGCCAGAGTGGTTTTTTTTTTTTTTCCATTTCTTGTGGGGGAACTTGGTCGTATTTATATGGGAGAAGGACAGCAAATTTGTTTAAAATATATAAATAATAATTTAATTTTTAAAAATGCTATAACTCCTTTAAAATTTTAAAAAAATTCATATTATCAATAAATTTATATAAATTATTAAATTATTTTTATTAAAAATAAATAATTCATAATTTTTTTATATTCACAATTTTTTTATATTCATGATAATAAATTATAACTTTATATTTTAAATTATTTATTTACTGTTGTATTATTATTTGTATAAGAGAAAAAGTTATAAACATAAAAAAATTGTAAATTATTTATTTTTAATAAAAATAATTTAATAATTTATATGAATTTATTAATAATATAAAAAATTTTAAAAATGTCATAAAATTATAATATTTTAAAATATTAAATTATTATTTATATATTTTAGAATGATGTTATTGTTATTTTTCCACTCAAGTACCAACTCTCATTAAATTTTTTTTTTCTTTCCGTCATTTGACATTAGACAGTGTGATTTTTTTTTTTTCGGTGGGACCAGACAGATTGTCTGGTTAACTGATTTACCTTGCGTGTGCGTGTGTTTTTTTTTATTATTATTATTATATATTACTATTTTGATAATTTTATTTTTAAGTATCGTGATTGCATGAGCAGGACAGGATGGAGTGTAACAAATTTTTAAGTAGAGCGTAATTCATGAAAATTATCATATGTTGGTGTGTAAACGATTCCTGGTGGTAGATGGTGATAAAGTGGTGAATGGCGATATAGAGTTAAACTTATTCTGATGTGGTCAGAAAAATAATTCTTGATTTAACAAATTTAGTTATTAAGAGATAATATTAACTGATTAATAATCATGTGTATGTAACTAGATTGTATCATTAACGAATCAGTGTTTGCTCAGTGCCTCTATCCATTCATTGTCGCCGACGAAAACTTAACAGTTACAATGTAATCGAGAACCCTGGGAAGTGAGTGGAGACAGGCTAAAAACCAAAATGCTTAAATCCTCAAATAGTTTTGTGATTGATGATTGATGGGTTGTGTAATGTGAACAAAATGGTCAATATAAATATTATTAAAAAAATGGTCAATATAACTTATTAAAAAAAAATAGAAAGCGGCATGGCAGGGATAATGTTCATAGTTCGGTGAACTTTGGTGAGTTTTTTCTGTCACAGCACATCATATTCGGCATAAACCTTCTTGCATCTTTGGCTCGAAAAAACTTTCTAACATCTAATATAACAATTTCATTATTTTCATTCAAAATTTTAAATTAATTATTACTCAACATTTATTATACTTTTATACCGTGTCTGAACCTTGCAATTATATTCATATGACATTTACAATTCAAATGTAGTATGAAATTATTAATAATTTCGTTTCGATGAGATAAATAGTTGGTTTCTCTTCCCTTACTCTACACAATTATCATGTAATACAAATGATGTAACGTGATGGTCCTGATATTGTGAGTATAATTGACCAAAAAAATACTATGAATATAATTTTTAGTAAACTTTTTTTTTTCAAATGATGCTGTTCAATTGATTGACAAAAATTTTTTAAATAATTTAATATAATTATGAATACTCATTCTATCTTTTTTTCAATTGATATTCATTCTAACTTTGCGCAACACACAGAAATTAACTATCTGTTGAGTCAGTTCATATAAACTCTGCCACATGAAAGCTCTTTTCTTCTATATTCGATGATTCCATCATCTCACTCAACTATAATGATTCCACAGACTCCAATTTTGACTTGGACACTTTTAAGGGCTTCACACAACATCAAACTTGACCATGGCGATGATGGCAAAAGCAACAACTTAGATGTCATGTGAGGAGCATGTGATAAGTTGGGGGAGGATAACGATAATCTGGGGAAGTTAAGAATGGCAAATTTGTCTTTGATGGACAAAGCAGTGACATTATAGGCTTAAGCAATCATTTTTAGGGGCGAAAGTGTCGAGGCTCACGAATCTTGAACACTCATTTTTTTCAACTTTGCACTTAGACTCCAATCCATGATAATGTGAGAGATTGCTGGTAGAAGAAAATGATGAAGAAGAAGAGGACGATGAACAAGAAGGAAGGGCTACATTGCTTCAATTTTAAAACTTTAAAGACAAATAAGTTTCAAACAAAAGTTTATGATACCCAACACCCATAAAAAAAATTCAGAACAAATATGTCATTTAATCCTCGTTCAAACTTTAATTTAAAGATTAACATTTTTTCTATTTAATGGTAGGGCAAAATATTATCTTTTTAAAAGTTTGGGACAAAAATGCTTCAAAAAAAAATTAGGGTGCCAGGCACCTCTGAAAAAAAAGTTTCAGGACAAATTTACTATTTAACCCTACAGATATATATATATATCAAGTTTTGTTTTTAAGTATTTATGTGAATATTAAAGAGTTATCAATATGATGTTAAATAAAATAACATGTGCATTGTAAATTAGTTTAAAAGTATTTTTATATATTATTGTTAATTTTGATTGAGTTATTGTTAATATTTAAACAATCACCTATAAGTATTTGAACATGACTTATTAATATTCAAAAAACAAGCTGTCCAACAAATACTAACTCCAATAGAAAAAACCAATTTGTTCATAAAATATTGACAAATTATGAAGTTATTAATATTATAATAAATAGCATATTTTACATTTAAAATCTTTGATCAATAGCAATTTGCAAATACCCAAAATCAACGTGATCATATAAAAATTATAATATATTTTTCTAACAACATTACCCGATGAGTTTTAGTTTTCTTCAAAAGGAAAAAGTCTAGGCTTATTAAATATTGAACGTTCTTATATTTGTATGATTTTAAGTTTAATATATAAAACACGAAACTGAGAAAAAAACTAGGACACAATAATGGTAAAAGAGAAGATTAATTTACTAGTCCTTATAGATTTTATCAATTTTAAATTAGGTCTTTATAATTTATTTTACTTTAATCAAATCCTTATAACATAATCCCTTAGACGTGTTAATATCCCTGTAGATTAAAATTCAAAGTTCATAGAAAATTTGATTTAATAATTTTGGCCAAAATAAAAAAAATATTTAATACACTGTCTACATTTTTATTATTTTTTTATGAGAGTTTTATGAATAAAAATTATCTATAAGGCAACCCCGTTATATAAATTTTAAATTATAGAAATTATATAATTAATTGCAAAGTCATATAATGTTTTAGTGAAAAATTAAAAGTTCTTAATATTTTAAAAGAAAAATTAAAGAATTAAAAAACTTAATGGATCAAACAATTAGAGCAAAATTAAAATAAAATTTTAATTTAAAATTAAAGAAAATTATAAAGATCTGCATACATATTTTTCTCATGGTAAAATACTAAAATTGAAGTGCCGAATTAAATACCATCCAATTTATGGAACAAAAAAATCACTCAATTTAATGGCCCCACACCAGCTAAAATATTCCAATTTTAGAAGAAGAAAAAATCAGTCTAGATTCATTGACCACACTTGATAAAAAAAAAATTGTTCCTTGAACTCAAAAATTTCATTTTAGATCAAGGATGGCGAAGTAAAATTAAAATGTTAAAGGAAATGATAAAATTAATCTTCTTTCAATTCTGAGCTCTACAACATCAAACAACCTCCCTTCATGGTCTCACTCCTCCTCATCTCCGTGGTGATTGCATTGCTACTCATAAATGCTGCAACTTTTGTTAGTTATTACATTCTCCATTGTGCCTCTCACCCTCCACGTCCCTCTAATCATAAGCTTTAGGCCTTATTTGATATGAGGAATTAAAAGGATGAGATTGTGATTAGGCAATGCCACTTTTTCATGCTTGGTGTGAGGGAGACATTTATATTATTTATGTATGTTGAATGCTTTTAAATGGTTGCTCAACTTGTGTGAAATATAATTATCTTAACTCAAGAGACGTGCCGCGCGCCTTAAGGCTAGTCTAATCTCCTTAAAAGATTAATATATGTTGTAATTATGGGTAGTGACTAAGGTCATTATAGAGGGCTTAAATGAATGAATTATTGAAAGGTGAGTGAGCTGTAATGTACAGTAGTGCAAGACTAGATCTAGAGAGCTTGCCACGAGTTGAAGGAAGAAGACGAGGGCTTTTGTGTCCTTTTAGTTAATTTTTGTTGGATTTAGGTGTTCCTTTTTTTTTAAAACAAAATCATGACATATCAAACATCATTTTAAAATATTCTCACTGCCAATCCCAATGCTAATCACGTTCTCAATCCCTTAAAATTTAATACCTTACACCAAACAGGGCCTTAATCTCTTTATCCAAACTATTGAAGGCTTCTAGCGATGAATGACGAAAAATAGTCCATGCAGAAAGCACAGGTGTAGAGATGCCCTTCCATTTGCTTGAAAAGTGGCTTGTTGATGATGTTGCTATGATCTCATCAAGTGAAGATGCAGGTGTCCATTTTTTCTACCTTGGTTCCATTTTAGACTTTGGAAGTTTATTTTCTCACTTTATAGCCTTGACTTAAGCCAGATTCCTTCTATTTTCAAGCCTTCTGGTGCCCTCAATGTAAATTCCTTCTTTTTCTTCTTCACCATCATCCCATTCTATTTGTGCTTAATTGACTGACTCATTGAAATAACAATATTGCACATGCTTTTGAATAGTCATCTCTGCCGCTATATTGCATTTTGTCTGCCAATTGAAGTTTCAAGAAAATATTAGGGGTTTGGAGAGAGATCTCTTCAATGATTTGTTGTAATTGGGGAGAATTACATCAAATGACCACTCAAAAAAATTATTTATATATAAGGACTAAAACAAAATAAATTATTATTAACATGAGAATATAACTTTTTTTTAAATGAGATTGTTAGTCCTTATCTGTGAATGATTTTATTGAATGGTCTTTGGATATGATTGTTCCTTGCAGTTATGAACAACTTCAAGTAGAGAAACAAGCAACTTTAGTATGGGTAATGAATAATTCATTTTACCTTGATTACAACATTTGGAATAAAATTAAGATTTAGTAACGGCACAAATAATTCTTAGAGAGCAATAAATAATTTCATGTAAGGAAGTGAACAATTTCAGCATGAGTAATGAACAAATTATTTTGCCATGATTACAACTCTTAGAAAAAGAATCAAAATTCAATAATGACACAGATAATTCTATTGGAATAATGAACAATTTTATGCAAGGAAATGAATGACTTCAACATGAACAGTGAACAACTCATTTGATCATGATTGCAACACTTGGAATGAAATCAAAATTAACTAATGGTATAAACAACTCACGTGTGATAATGAACAATTTCATGTAGGGAAATGAACAACTTCAATATGGGTAATGGATAATTTGTTTTTTCATGGTTACAACAATTGACAGAAAATCAAGATTCAATAATGGCACAAACAATTTCTATATGTCAATGAACAATTTGATATAGGAAAATGAACAGTTCATTTTACCATGATTACAACACATAATAAAATAAAATTTCAATAATGGCACAAACAATTCCTGCAAGTCAATGAACAATTTCATATAAGAAAATGAACAATTTCAGCATGGGTAACAAATTTTTATTTTACCATGATCACAACACTTGAAATAAAATCAAGTTTCAGTAATGATACAAATAATTTTTGCAAGTCAATGAACAATGTCATATAGGAAAATGAAAAATTTATTTTACCATGATTATAACACTTAAAATAAAATTGAGATTTAATAATGGTACAAACAACTCTTGTAGATTAACGAACAATTTTATACAGAAAAATGAACAAATTATTTTATCATAATTACAATACTTGAAATAAAATCACTATTCAATAATTGTGCAAACAATTTTTATAAATTAATGAACAACTTGATACAAGAAAATGAATAATTTCAATAGATAATTAGAAGGGATGAGAAACAATGAAATAATTTTATTATGTATTTTAATTTCACTTCATTATGCCTGGTCTAAAGTGAATTTAAATATGGTGAAGGGTTTTACATCAAATTTTCCAAAAGAAAATCAGAACGGCAATGAATCAGAAACCACAGTAATGCTGAAACGACTTCGTTTTATATAGCTCGAGTTGAGTAGACGCCGCACCAGACTGTAGACCCGCCTTGGCGGCATTTGCACGGCATTCCGGTTGAAAGCAAGCGACGGATGAAAGCAGTGCACGGTAACAGCAGGGGCCGCAGTGGCAGCTGAAGAAGAAGAAGCAAAACATGGAGAATAGAAACGTTGTCGTCTGCGACAATGGCACCGGGGTACCTCTCTCACGCTTTCCTACCATGCGATTGATTATGAATGGATCGCGTTGCTTTATCTGCCAAGAACCATTTACTTCTTTCTAGATCAAAATTGGTTGTTTGCTGCATAGCACCGAATGCGGTTCACCATGTGTCCCTCTTGGTGAAGTTTTTTTCGATCTGTTGATATTTTATTCAGAATTGACAATTTTTTTTTATCTGTCTCCCTTTTCATCTTTCTGGACGTTGCTAATTTTGTGTAACCACCGATGAGTGTTGGAAGTTCACGGTCGTTTAACATAACTCTCAGTATGGATTATCCTATCCTTTCGTGGCATTAACTTTCTATGCTTGAGATTTTTGCTGTTTAACTGCTTTGGGTGATTCTAACTTCTTTGTTGTCATGTGTGGAGTCTTTCTTCCCCTTTTGATGTTGGATTTTCTTCTGAATGCAGTACGTCAAGTGTGGTTTTTCCGGGGAGAACTTCCCCACCTCTGTATTTCCTTGCGTGGTGGGGAGGCCGATGCTTCGGTACGAAGAATCACTAACTGAACAAGAGCTGAAGGTGTGGCGCTCTTGAACCGACAAACCTTCTACGTATAAGGAAAAATGCCATAAGACACAATTATCTTGGCCAAAAAACTTAACTGATGGCTCATTATTTGAATAATGCTTGACTTGTCAAGCAGCAAGGCCTGATGCTGAAAATCATATAAGGGAAATCTAATGAGTCATATTGTTGATCGGATAATCTTAAAATTGGTGAGCAATGTATATATTTCTAGAAGGAAGCAAGGCCATTTGTTTTTGGGGAGTAAAGGAAGCGAGACTATGTTGATCTCCAAGAAGTGCTTGTTATCATGATTTTGCCCCGCTAAAGTTTATTGAATTAATATATTGCTAAAGTATATTATATCTTATGCTTTGGAATGCACTGTTTAATGTAGGACATTGTTGTTGGGGAAGCTTGTGCGGATTTGCGACATCAGCTTGATATATCTTATCCTGTCAATAACGGAATTGTGCAAAACTGGGACGATATGTGTCATGTGTGGGACCATGCGTTTTACAATGAATTAAAAGTAATTTATTATAACTTCTGATTTGTCTGCTGACAACTTCGTTTTGTACTGTTGTAATATTTACGGTCAACGCTTAACATTTTTTTGGATAGATTAATCCACCAGACTGTAAGATTCTACTCACAGATCCTCCACTTAATCCTTCAAAGAATCGTGAAAAAATGGTTTGTGTATCAATTCCAACCTTTTCCTTTTCTAGAAAAACTATTTTCTCTTAATATCTGAATATACCTGGAACATCATTGTTTTATGTAATTTGACTTGGCAGGTTGAGATGATGTTCGAGAAGTACAATTTTGCTGGAGTATTCATCCAAATCCAAGCTGTTCTAACATTATATGCTCAAGGTGCTTATAGAGATGATTAAGGTTGAACTTTTGTTTTTCAGTTTTATCTGATCCTTATTGTAGTTTACTCCCCAAAATTTGACCATGCACTTTGAAATTAGATAGTATAATTTCCAAGGATTTGTAAATGCAATATATACTACTTCCATGGACATTTCATTGGCATGTGATCTCTTTGTACCTACAATTTAACGTTTCCTTCTCTTGTCCCAGGGCTCCTGACTGGACTAGTTATTGACTCTGGTGATGGTGTCACACATGTGGTAATTAGCTTAGTATTACACTGACCTTTACGATGGGGCTTTGTTCTATCTCCCTTTTATTTATCTGGACAAATCAGTTTCTTGAACCAGGGCTTTAATATAGATTTTTTTTTAATGATTCATGTCACTTGTATATGATAATTAACACTGCTTTCAAACTTTATACTTACCGTACTTGTGCAGTTTATGGAAAATGAGATTTCATCAGCTTGGCAATTGGGTTTTGAGGGATTGTTATGCAGATCTTGCATCCCAAATCTTAGATGAAGTGAATAGCCAAACTGTAGAAATACTTAGCTTATTTTGTAATACTGTACATTAGTCTTAAGAAAGTGGATAATGTTCAAATTATCTAATATTTATTGTTGCTGCAACATGATTTATGATTTATATGCTTATTTGAAAAAAATGTTAATAGTGCAACTTTTAATCCAGGTTCCTGTTGTTGATGGCTATTCATTCCCACATCTTACAAAGCGAATGAATGTAGCTGGCCGGCATATAACATCATATCTTGTTGACTTGCTTTCAAGGAGGGGGTGAAAGCTAATTCCCTTCATTTCAGTTCTAATATGATGGTAACTGGATGTTTACATCACATGCTTAATGTCTAAATGGTGCAAAATTTTATTTCCTCAAGGTATGCAATGAATAGGAATGCTGATTTTGAGACTGTAAGGGAGATCAAAGAGAAGCTGTGCTACATAAGGTCAACACACAATCTCATTCTACTAAGTTTCCTGGGTTTCATGTTTTTCTTCCTTGTCATGGCTATATCTTTTTTTCTGCAGTTATGACTACAAGAGGGAATACCAGCTGGGGCTTGAGACCACGATACTTGTTAAGAATTATACTGTAAGTTTTATTTCTAATTTCTTGAAAACATTTAAGGGCTATTTCTGTGTAAATGGTCAATGATCCTGCAGGCAGTTTTGCTTTATATTGCTTAATTGAAGAGTTTTTTTTTTTTTTTTTAGGAGATCCACTTTGCCTTATCCTATAATCTGTTCTTTTATGCGTTTCTTCTCATATAGTATTCATGCTTGTCTGTGAATTCATTTACATTTTTTTTTGTTTTAATGTATTTATTATGTTATATTGGGATGTTTTATTGTCTCCTACAGTTGAATATGGTATACATGCATGCATGAAGTAGGTGTCATGAATTTATTGTTTTCTTCAATGGTGCTTATTGATATACACTCATGATCAGCTTCCAGATGGAAGGGTGATTAAAGTAGGAACTGAAAGGTTCCAGGCTCCTGAGGCTCTGTTCACTCCAGTAGGTTCTCCTTGTCCATTTTATTTCAAGTTTTCCATTGCTAGCACGTAGATTCAATGTTGTAATGGTGATCATAGTTTGCCGCTGTATGGGTTGAAGAGCCTTTTTGCAGTGAAATTTGATGGTTTGTGATTGCCCAGAGGTTTATCCTTCTTTCAGGAGCTTATTGACGTTGAAGGGGATGGAATGGCTGATATGGTTTTCCGTTGCATCCAGGAAATGGATATTGACAACCGGATGATGGTGCAATATTATATTTGCTATTTACAATATTTAATATTGGTATCATATTGTTATGTTCGGATTTGAATACTTGTTCATAGATTGAAGTTTATCAACTTAAAGAGTGTGGTAAAAGAAATTGTGTTTAGCTACACTTTCTAAGCAAAACTTATGAAGGTATCTGAGGCACTACTTGCTATT